TAATCTTTTTCATACATAAATTATTTTTTGACTTCTTTTATTATAATTATTTGAGTTTCTTATTCTTATTTTATTATTTTCTTTCATTCCTTAGTGTAAAGTAAAAAATTTAAAGCTATCTTTTTTGGCTATATTATAATTTAAAACTATTATTTTTGTCTATATTGTAATTTAATTTTTTTATTTGAAGAAAAAAATTTGGTCATCTATAATAAGTTTTACAAGAATATTAGTGAAATATAAATAAATTTGACCATCAAAATAATAAATCTAAATTAGTCATTAAAACAAAAAAAAAAGTAGAAAAAAAAAATATGTTTGAGGTGGATTAAATATACTCATATGGGACTATATTTAAAAAAATAAAAATAAAAAATAAATTAAACTAAAATTAATTTTTTCCATTTCTGTTAGAGAAAAAGGGTATATGTGAGCCATTTGTAATAAGTAGGGGTATATATGAGCCACTTTTATAAAGGGGTATATCCGACCCTTTTCCCTTAAAAAATTAAAGGTTGAGATTTAATTACCTAAATTGAAGTCCTAACCATGATTATAACAAATAATTTCTTTATTTTCTTATAAAAACATAAATTTCATATTTCAGAAGTCATTTTATAAAAATACAATTTTTTTATGCGAGCTCTTTTTTTTTTTTTTTTAAAAAAGATATTTTTCTTGTCCTCTTTTTTGTCATGGAGTTCTTTAATTTTTTTCTTGTTCTTTACATTTCCATCAAACATTAGAGAAATAGTCATCTAGCTTAGGCCTTACGGAAGACCGTTAGAAAACTAATCAACATACAATGTTAAAAAATTTTAAAAATATTTACAAATTTTATTTTTTTTAAAAAAATAAAGGATGATGTTAGTTTTTTTTCTTTCAATAACAAACTGCAAAAACAATAAACAGAACAAAATGCAAAAAGATTTTTTTGTAACAAAAAAAGGAAAAAATGTTCTTAAAAAGAAAGAAATTTTAGATATATTTATGAATTGAGATCCATTTTAGCTAGAATTATGAGATTGACTTTAAATAGGAAATATTATAAATAAATTATTTGTTATTCTAATCATGATTAGGACCTTGATTTAGATAATTAAATCTCAATCTTTAATTTTTAATTATGACACATATGGCTTCCATCCGAGTAGAAACTTGGTGAAATGGAGAGGAGCCATTTGACCACTGTTAGTCTAATTGCTTGTCTATAATCATCATTTGGTGTTTTATCTTATCATGTGGGGGTTAGTTTAATTTTAAGTGAAGGTTGTTTAAATATTGTATGCTTTCTTGTCATCTTTGCATACATTGGCACAGTGAACTAATCACATGCATGTTTTGCCTTATTTTTTTATGTGTCTTGGTTGTATTATATAAATTAATTACTAGATAAAGGGTAAGTATTGAGAATTAACCCCTATATATATGCCTCACCCC